TAAAAACAAAGTAGAGCGCTTTTGTTGTAATTGATTTAAGCATTGACATTTGAGAATTAGAATTTTGCGAAATTCCAAAATTGCATGACTGTGAGTAATTAAGCATGTGGATTGATATTTCTAAGTCTAATTTACATAAACACTACACATATACATACATACATAYATATAMACATAWTAAAAATAACTATTATATAACTCTCTTTGGCACTTGGTTGCAACTATTGTTTAACTAAAAATATAAAATGCATATAAAACACATACACACATACATATATGCAACAACTAAACTAAAACCAATAAGAATAAATTGAAAACGAAAATAAAAATCAAAATCAAAATGATTGTATTAAAACACTAACAATTTATCGATAATTTTAAGCGAGTTTAAACGCAAATTGTAACCAAACTAAATGAAGCTGTATGTAAATCAATTGATTTCTCCAAATTTATTTAGATAAATCAACATAACTAAACGTACTATATATATACATATTACTATTATTACAATTACTATTATGATTATTATCATTATTATTACCATTATTAAAACAAAATATTTGTGTATTACAAAAAAGCAAAAAAATTAAACAAATAAAATTTCATTAACTAAATGTAGATGACAAATTGTTTTAAAGGGTATTTTTTTGGGCTGTAGAGTATTGCWTGCATGCATGGCTGTCAAATCAGATGTCAAAGTGAATAAAAGTTTTTGACATTTATTTTCGGTATACGCGAGAGAATTACATATATCTAAAGGCTTTTGATCAATATAAATGCTAAAGAGACATAGAGAGGGAGAGAGAAAGAGARGGAGTGAATGAGAGAGCGAGAGAGACCACTTCAATCTTTAACGGGCACACATAGCGTGAAATTTTTGAAAAAAAAATAAAACTAAAATTTCAAATCGATAGCTCAAATAGTTTTCGTACCAGTTTCTATTCAGAATAAGTGGCAGTTAACCTTAAGAACGAAGTTGCGCTAGGTTCAATCCTGTTTCACAGGGCAAGTCGTGCTCTTGCTCTGCAATGGATGATTTTCGAGCTTCAAGTACGCCATTTAACGAGATGGTGCTAATGAGGTTGTTAATAGCTCCACTGTAAATGGAATTAATTGCCTGTCGGAAATTGTTCGCGTTCGAAATTTGGTCGGTATATTGCTCCGGTTCATCGACATGTTAGAGGAGGAATGTTCTCCTGATGTTSCTAGAAGGCGGCTCCGCTTCAATTAGCTGATTGCAGGGATGGTTTCAACATCAATATCTAGATGTCTGATGGGAGTTATTGGAAGAACTTATTATAGTCCACAGTGCGATGTTCTAGCAGATCAGTATCTTCTCCGAAGTTAATGGTCGACCGCCCATTGTCTTATATGTTGGCTGCAGATTGTCGACTGCGCCATCTAAACTTTTAGAGTTGTTTATCGTTAGAGTTTTGACATTTGTTGAGATCCCGTCTGACCGCTTTCGTCCAGTTGGTTAATGTGGTGGACTTGGCAGGGGAGTGTTTCACGCTTTTTGTAGAGAAGAAGCGAGAAAGCTCTAGGAGATAGGTGCTGAATGCTGAAAACATGCCAATAAYTCCATTGCCCGACGTCATTATCCAGTCCAGCGAGTTTAGAATTGCAGTGGTTAAAATGGGAGAGGACAGGACTCTGCTTAATTCTCCTAATTTTACCTATTTAATTTTCCTAAACTTAGATTGTTCACCTCGAATACGGATACGAATACCGAAAATTGTCGACCGATCAGATAGTTCAACAGCCACCAAGACTGATCCTTAAGGGAGCATGGTTTGTTCGATGTCCTCAAGCAGCGTTGTATGAATAGTCCAACGGGGACAGTCCTCTCGCAGAGAAGTTTCTAACAGAGACCACGAGCTATCTGGACTTTGTTCACAACTACCAGAACACGC